GGACTGACAATTCATGGGGCCCCCGGGCAATAGGGGATTATGGGGCCCCTGTGTCTTGCCCAAACGCAAAAAAGCCTAAGAAAAAAAAGGTACCATGGGCATCTCATGGGGCCCCCTACTGACCCTGGGCCCTCGGGCAGTGCCCGAGTTTCCAAATGGTCAGTCCGCCCCTGCATGTACATGGTACAGCAGGCACATGTCAGGAATATGAAATGTTGGGATTATAAATTCTTTAAAGCCATGAAATGTGTGACAAGTATGCGTACATGCTCGACAGATGGAAAATCTGTGTCTGTTAACAGGAGAAGTGACATATTACCAAACACCATTAGAAAATTAGCATTAATGCAACTAAAAAAGAAACATATCGTGTGTGGTTCCCAATCACCCGTGGCATTCGTTTGCAAAGGTCCCACCTTCCACCAGTGACCCTCTTCCTCTTCACGCTTGTATACTGCCTGCCCTGAGCGGGCCATCAGCACAATCAAGACGATATGGAAAGGGCAGGCACTCACAGCAACCATCAGTTTACAGAAGGCAGATCAGCGATAAATTCTGATGGGTTACAGTGTGCCTGAGCTGTCCACATACTGCTCTATGTAAGAGCCACTGTGCTCTATGACACTGGAATTTACTAGATCCATTACATCAAATGGTCTTCCCCTTCTGAAAGCACCATCGGACCTTGGTTTCAAAGTCAACCCATCCCACCTCCTGCTTCCATGAGACGCCAAGTGCTTTCTAGACGGCTTACAAGCATCTCTGTCCTCAGATGGATTCAAAAAAAGGAGTCCCCTGTCGGTAGTTGTATAATTCTGCCTACCTTTCTATTTATATTGCTCATGTACTTAAATTCTTTTCTCTCTTCACTCTACATGATTGTACTTTCTGCAATGTACATTTCAGTAGTGCCTTGTTTCTGTTTTACATACTGTTTGAAGCTGCCACTTTACAGTCTATTTTTCGAAAAAATAAAATCAGAAGAAAGAGGAAGAGGGAAAGAGGAAGAGGAAAGAGGAAGAGGAAGAGGGAAAGAGGAAAGAGGAAAGAGGAAGATGGAAAGAGGAAAGAGGAAAGAGGAAAGAGGAAAGAGGAAGAGGAAAGAGGAAGAGAAAGAGGAAAAGGAGAGAAAGAAGGAAAGAGGAAAGGGGAAAGAAGGAAAGAGGAAAGAAGGAAAGGGAAAGTGAAGGAGGAAAGAAGAGGACAAGAAAAGAAGAAGGAAGGAAGAAAGAAGGAAAGAAGGAGGAAAGAAGAGAGGAAAGAGAGGAAGAAGAGGGAAGAAAGGAAAGAAGAAAGGAGAAGAAGAGGAAAGAAGAAAGAGGAAAGAGGAAGAAGGATAAAAGAAGGAGGATAAGAAGGAAGAGGAAAGAAAGGAAGAAAGTAAGAAGAGGAAGAAGAAGGAAGACAAGAAGAGGAAAGAGGAAAGAAGAAAGAAAGAAGGAAAGAAGGAAAGAAGGAAGAAGAAAAAAAAAGGAAGAAAGAAGAAAGAAGGAATGAAGAGGGGAAAGAAGGAAGAGAAGTTAAAAGAAGGAAGAGGAAAGAAGGAAGTGCGAAAAGAAGAAAGAGGAAAAGAAATAAGTAGGAAAGAAGAAGAAGAAGGAAATGAAGGAGGAAAGAAGAAGAGGAAGAAAAAAGGAGGAAAAGAAGAGGAAAGAAGGAGGAAAGAAGAAGAGGAAAGGAAGGAGAAAGAAAAGAGGAAAGAGGGTAAAAAAGGAAAAGAAGGAAAAAAAAGAAAAAGTCAGCAGGTGGTATAGAAAAAAAGGAACAGAAGGTAAAAAAATAAGAATAAATGAAAGAAAGAAGGTCAAAAAGAAAGAAGAAGGAGGAAAGAGGAAGAAGAGGAAGGGGAAGAAGGAAGCGAAGAAGAGGAAAGAAGGAGGGAAGGAAGAGGATAGGAAGAAAGAAGGAAGAGGGGAAAGAAGGAAGAAAAAGAAGAGAAGAAAGAAGGAAGAGGAAAGAGGAGAATGAAGGTAGAGGAAGAAGAAAGAAGGAAGAAGAAAGGAAGGAAGAGGAAAGAAGGAGAAAGTTGAGAAGGAGGAAGGAGAGGAATGAAAGAAAAGAAGGAAGGAAAGAAGAAAGAAGGAAAGAAGGAAGAAGGAAGAAGAAGAGGAAAGAAGGAAGAAGAGGAAAGAAGGAGGAAGAAGAGAGGAAGAAGGAAGAAGAAGAGGAAAGAAGGAAGAAGAGAGGAAAAGAAGGAAAGAAAGAAGAGGAAAGAAGGAAGAAGAGGAAAGAAGGAAGAAGAAAGAAGGAAGAAGAGGAAAGAAGGGACACAATAATTCGAAGAGTGGGGAGACAGAAAAAATTACCCCAAAACAAAGGCGATGCACCGTGTATGATTAGTGTTGCACATATTTTTTGCCATTTGGTTTTGGCACAGTTTTCTTTGCACTGTGTTTTTTGTGCACTTTTATTTAGGACGTGTTAGTCCTACTATGTCGAACACATTATTTATGTTCACTTGGTGACTATTGCTCACATTGTATTTCATCACAATCTATATTGCACTTAGTTTGGTCTGGGTTCAGGCCTTTACATTTTTATGTATTATTTATGTTCACTTGCTGATTATTACTCACGTGGTCTTTGTCACAGTTCATACTGCACCTAATTAGGTCTGGATTCAGGCCTTTATACTGATCACCTCTGTTTTGGGGTTATTTTTTCTGTCTCCCCACTCTTCGAATTATGGTGTCCTTAGTACTATTGATATTAGCGCAGCACCATTTTATTAGTTTTGTTTCCTTGTGCTAGTGGTGTCTAGGTCTAGGTCAGCGGTTCTCAACCTGTGGGTCGCGACCCCTTTGGGGGTCGATCGACCCCTTTGGGGGTCGATCAGCCCTTTCCCGGGGGTCGCCAGACTCGGGGGTCAGACTCATGACAGCAGCTGGCATGGTGCCGCTCTGTCTGTGTGTCATGTGTTTGCTGTGTGTGTAGATCGGACCTTAGAGGACGGGCGGACGCTTATGCTGGTGCACAGGAAGTGATGTCATATCTTCCTGTGTTTTTGAAGGAGCTGGATGCCCGGGCTGGTAAGTCGGGTCTGATGATTTTGCTGCACTCGGAGGGTAGACACTGTACCAGCACCACCGCTACCCACAGTTAGGTAAAGGGGCGCCCACGGTGCTGCAACGCCACTGCACCAATGTTATAAAATGGGTTTTGGAGGGATCCCCCACTGAGCCACCACTGATCAATATATTTTGTATGGGGAGTGATACACTGAGCCACCAATGATTTATTTATTTTTTTGGGGGGGACTGAGCCACCAATGATTTTTTTTTTGGGGGGGGGGGGGGGGGGGGGGGGGATTAGACGGTTGTTGTGATTGACTGCTTTCATTGCTGTTCGTCAGACAGGTGGGTGTGGTGTCAGAAGAAAATCCCCAGCGATTGCAAGCGCTTTTCACAGGTTTGCTGGCGTTTTTTTTTGTTTTTTTTTTTTTTAATGGTGGTTTTGTTTAGTGCTGCCCCTGCGTAGAAATAGAAGATTTTTAGACTTGGTGACAGTTTTCCTTTAAGTGACTTGCTAAGGAAGCTGGCTTTAATGTGAAGTATGTGAAAATTTGAAAACGTTTACTCAATACCACATATTCTGTGGTTATCCTTTGCACTTTTCTGCATTTTTGTTTTTATTACTACTGTGACTACTGCCCCATACACACGATGCGAAAATCGGACAATGGATCGTCTGGTTTTTTTTTGCATGCTGGTTGCACATCGAAAATAAAGTGTACTAAAGTTACGAAAATTCTCGTACGACAGAATTAAAAGAAAAAAAAAAAAAAAAAAAAAAAAAAAAAAAAAAAAAATCGGGAGTGATGTCATGTGTTGTAGTGTATTTGCATTGCATTTTCGGATGACAACTGTACTGGTTATACAAAAATCGTACGATCGGGCATCATACGAGAATAGAATTTAATGGTTGGGGGTCACCACAACACAGAGGAACTGTATTAACGGGTCACGGCATTAGAAAGGTTGAGAACCACTGCTCTAGGTGTTCACAGATGTTTTCAATAGTCCTATCTATACCTATAGCAGCGCAGAAAGTTTTCTTCTATTATTTCTGTTTAGTCACCACCTATCTTCTTTTTGCTGAAGAGAAAAAAAAAAAAAAAAAAAAAAACTAACTCTGTATTACTGGCAGCAACCAGATTGCACGCTCCAACTGCCTTTTTTCCAATGCAGGCTTTAAATTTTGTTAGCTGCTACAGGCAATTCTCATTTCACAGCCAAATGAGATCTTTAGTAATGTGTAACTAACGGTTATGTGAATAGAAACACAAATATACAGTGGGGGGGGTTTTCTCAAAATTAGATATTAAATACATTTTAAGGCCGGGCATAGATGGCCTAAACTGTGTTGTTTCCCGCAGCCGGAACACCGTTAACGTGACCGTACACAGCTGGAGATCAGCGTTAAATTTCATAGAAAAACACTCAAATTCCTCCAGCTGCACTAACAGTGTAGGTTAAGCAATTCATTGTATTTAGGCCGTCATGCCTGCCCAACAGTGACCGCGTCTGATCGGATGCAGTCACTATTTAAATGATAGTTTTACACACAGCTCACTATTTTTAAAACTTTTGTAAAGCAAGGCCACCCATGAGTTTCAACCCATTCAGCTGGAATCGACCAAAATTCAAGCTGTCTATTGGACTTTGGAAAAACTACGCAGGTACAGGATGGTGCTAAATCGAGTGAACACAAAGCATATCAGGCCTTATAAATCCAAAATTACCGAGAAGGCCATTTTTGTTGCCCATATCAACCAGATTCCCTCTTTTACTCTTGGTGTTGAGTACAGAGGGAAAGGGGTAACCTTTCAGACACTCATATCAGGTCTGTTTGGCAGTGGCCTTTCCACGCACACTATATCTGCACCCAGACAACAAAGCATTGATCCCTGCTCTGTGGTCTATAGGCACCCCTGCGGCTTGTCTTCCATTTTAATCTGCTCAGCCACAAGCGTGAGAGAGAAAGAAGGGGAGTTTGAGTACTTAGCACAGTCGAACCCTGGTCGGCCTGGTAGGATGAAGCTCCTGGTTTCTTCAAGTTGGGAGCAGCCATCTTTCTGCTGCAGCTCCACAGATGGACAGTATTATCATCCAGCAGGGACAGGAGACGACCCTGGAAGGCAAACAAGAGGTTACTGTACAACAAAAAGTCATTTAAAAAAAAAAAAAAAAAAAACTCTACAATGTTTTTGTTGCATTCTTGAGGACCCCACCAGTGTGAAGTTAGCTTATATACGGGCAGCACAGTCGCTAAATGGTTCGCACTTCCGCATGGCAGTACTAGGGTCGTTGGTTCGAAACCCAGCCACGGCACCACCTGCCTGGAGTTTGCATGTTCTCCCTGTGCTTGTGTGGGTTTCCTCCAGGGTACCCGGTTTCCTCCCATTCCAAAGACATGCTGGTAGGTTAATTGGATCCTGTCTAAATTGTCCCTAATATGTATATGTATGATTGAGTTAGGGACCCTAGAGACTTTATGCCCCTTGAGGGTTGGGGACTGATGTGACTGTACAATATATATGTAAATTGTCCCTAGTATGTGTATGTATGAATGTAAGTTAGGGACCTTAGATTGTATGCCCCTTGAGGGTTGGGGACCTTAGATTGTACACCCCTTGAGGGTTAGGGACTGATGTGAATGTACACTATATATGTGTAAAGCTCTGCGTAAATTGACGGCGCTATAGAAGTATCTGAAATAAAGAAATATAAAACGGCTTGTCACAAAACACATAGAAGAAATCATTTGTGTAGAAGCCAATTAACCACATAGTTCATTTCTGGCTTTAAGTGCATCTAAACCCAAAAACTAAAAAAAGTCATACTGCAGCATACTACTACTCCGATAAGGTTTTTATATTCATTCTTTAAGGCTTTTTTTTCTCTCCATTATGTTTACCTGATGATCCAACCAGTAACACACTACCAATAGAAAAAATAAATTTGGTGGCACTGTGTAAAATTCAATGCTGATAACTTTATTGATCCAGAAAAATGTAGACAGGGAGACTGAAACCACCTCCTCCTCCCAGTTCTAGACAGGGATTCCCCATCTGTCTGGAATAAAAACCACTGAATGTTAGGGAGTACCATGATTTTTTTTTTTTTTTTTTTTCATTGGGCGGCCCTACCTGGCTTTAGGCTTGGGGGGCATTGGGCGAGCCCCTACCTGGCTTCCGGCATTTGGGCGAGCCCCTACCTGGCTTCCGGCATTGGGCGAGCCCCTACCTGGCTTCCGGCATTGGGCGGCCCCACCTGCTTCCGGCATTGGGCGAGAGCCCCTACCTGGCTTCCCTACCTGGCATTCCGAGCTACCTTGGGCATTGGGGGCGAGCCCCTACCTGGCTTCCGGCATTGGGCGAGCCCCTACCTGGCTTCCTGTCTATCTAAAGAGTGACCTGGTTCTAAGCTTGGGAAGAGCAGAGCACTCTCCTTTCTTTTGTGAACATACTTCGTGTCACAGGGTGACACCATCTACGGAAGAGCAGATATGTTACCATAAGACAGAAGGTACATTAAGACTACAGAACTGTTCCCCCCTCTCCTCTTCTCTCCAAGATGTGGGAGATGATCTGCAGTTCACAGAGGTAACCTAGGCAGGAAAATACCGCTCAGTGCACACGATCACAATGGATTTCTGCCAGGATCAACAGGTAATTTTTTGCACTGGTTGAAATAAATAACAGAATGCTTTCAATGGTTTAACAGATCATCAGGAAGCAAATACTATGAGCAGCACAGTGGCTAAGTGGTTAGCACTTCTGCCTGGCAGTACTAGGGTCGCCAGTTCGAATCCCAACCACGGCACCACCTGCCTGGAGTTTGCATGTTCTTCCTGTGCCTGCGTGGGTTTCCTCTGGGTACTCCCGTTTCCTCTCACACTCCAAAGACATGCTGGTAGGTGAATTGGCTCCTGTCTAAATTGTCCCTAGTATGTGTATGTACGAATGTAAGTTAGGGACCTTAGATTGTACGCCCTTTGAGGGTTAGGGACTGATGTGAATGTGCAATATGTATGTAAAAGCGCTGCGTAAATTGGCGGCGCTATACAAGTACCTGAAATAAATAAATACAAGCAGTTAAACGTTTACCTTAATACATTCCTTGCATTAAGGTAAAGAATGTTTAGGCATAGGTATGGCCCCCACCCCCCCCCCCCCCCCTCATATACCTGAGCCCTCACTCAATCCAGTACTGTGCATGTCTGAAGCTCTTCTCTCCCATCACTTCCGGGCCTGCTGCTGAGGCAGTGGGAACCATTGGTTCCCACTGCTGTCAATCAAAGCTAGTGACAAGGGAGGAGGAGATGGCGGAGTCCCGCTGTCTGCATGAATGGACACAGCATCACGGCTTGGGAATAAGCCTGCATGAGTGCCCCCATGGGAAGCAGCTTCCTATTGGGGGCACTAGCTGGATGGCCAGCAGGAGACCCAAGAAAAAGAGGTCCAGGGCCGCACTATGCAGTTCTACTGCACAGAGATAGGCAAGTATAGACCGGTTTGTCATTACAACCACTGTAATTTGTAGGGTTTAGATTTCTTTTTTAGGCGTATGTAAAAGCAAAAGTAAAACTCATTTTTTTAGTGCTTCGTAGTGGTTAGAATCTGTCAGACTTTTATTGCTGTCTGTGTCCCCACAGCAGAGATTCACTATCCCCACTTCTCCTGGTGACAATTGTCCCCAAGACAAAAAAGTGATGGAGAATTCAAAGTTTTACAGTGCGGCAAAACAAGAGCCAAAAGGTAAATCTTCCAATTCTAGCGAAAAACGGTCTAGGAGAGGTGTTCTCCCTTAGGTAAGATTTCCTCTCACTTCCTGTTGAGTTTTTGGGACAGGAGGAGTTTAATTAGAAATTTTAATGGGTCAAAAAGCAAAAAAGTTAAATTGGCAGTTTCTTTGTTAAATTCTTTAATTTAGTTATCCATAAGAAAACCATAATACGCTGCACTCAAACATGTCCATGCACGTGAACAATAGACTGAATTACATTTCAAAGCAAACTATACATATTCCCAGGTAGTTTTTACATCTGCGTCAGGACAGTTTAGAACAGCAAGTAAATGCGAATATTTAAGTCAAGCAAACAAGTATTTTGTAGTATTGTCATCACAGCATATATGGTGTTATTTCCCTGAACGGTAGTGCAGAGTAAACTGAGAAGAGCGTACGGAATGTATATTAGACAACAATGAGTCAGACTCGAACATAACTGTTGGGTAAGATTTTGTAAATTTTTTTGAGGGTGTTCACCTGCCTAAACCATGAAAAGGGGAAAGAGAGGGACGTGAGGGGAAGCAGGCTTTAAAACCCATCAAACTAGATTGGCATAGGGTTTTAACCCTTCCCTACTCTATATACAATTTAAAAGGCAGGGAACCAACACAATCTTGAAAACAACATACAAGTTCCATGGTAGGACTAACCACGGTGCCTCAGGATAAGAGCACCAATCACCGAGCCTACCTGTCCGGGTAAGAAGTGTAGCTGGGTCACGGTGGCCATGTCCTTGTGCAAACCTGTAAACTCCACTCCAGGGGCCCCATATCTGTAGAAAGTCAAAGTTATGGAGAATACCAAAAAAGACAACAGCTATGAAGGATAAAAAGCAAGAGAACCTTCACAGCAAAGAGAAAAACAAGGACCCTTATTACAATAAGTCATTATATAGGGAGCCAATTAGGAGAGCAAAATGGTGGATGCCACTGCCAACTAGTTTTTGAAGGTTTAGCCCAGGGGTGGGCAAACGTTTTGACTTGAGGGCCGCAATGGGTTCATATATTGGACCCGGGGGCCGGACCAAGAGTAGATGAATGATTTGTATGTGTGAATTAATATAAATTAAATTTTTGTAACATTAAATGTTTAGATTAATTTAAGGTAGAAAAGCATAAAAAGCGTTATTTTACAAAACTTTTATGCCCCCACTAGCTGCTGGCCAGCCCAGCCACTACCATAGTATGCCATCCAGTAAGTAAGTATAGTAATTCCCTCATAGTAAGCATAGTAATTATTCCCCCATATAGTAATTCATCCCCCATATAGTAATTCATCCCCCCTATAGTAATTCATTCCCCATAGTAATTCATCCCCCATATTAATTCATCCCTCATAGTATTTCATCCCCCATAGTACTATTCCCCCCCAAGTAGTAAGCCAAGTCCCCCCTGTGTCAATTTACTTACCTTTGCTCCGCGCGTTCCTCTCGCCGTGTTCCCGCGCCGTTCCGGTCTTCAGGGCGGACTGTGAGAGGAGCCTAGCTCCCCTCACGTTCATCACGCTGCCCCGCCTACACACATCCTGACAGCCAATGTTTGCCTGCCCTGGCTGAGGTTTTTTTTTTTATCACGCTCCGCAGGCCGGATTAAAAGGTCCGCCGTTTGCCCATTGCTGGTTTAGCCTCTCGTCCTTATGAGTTTGTGACTCGCCAAACAGAAGACGAAGGATAAGGATCACCAGACCTGGAGCTTTTACACTCCCATAATTCTGGTTCTATTTGCAATAGTACTGAAACACAAACAACTGTCCCAAGGCCTAGTTGCAAAATGGTGGACACAGATGGTACACTGGTTTGATATCTACATTTAGACACATTTATAATACCTCTTGAAGAAATGGTGTTTTTTCTTCTGGCACTATGACATGGTATTACTGGGAAAACACCACATTTCTGTGATATTTTATATCAGGCGCGTAGCTCCACTCCTCCCCCTGGGGGAGTTCATGTGCATCTCCCATTCTTTTTGATGAGACGTCTTGGGTGAACCAGAGGTTATTGTTGATGTGGGTTTTTTTTTGTTATTGTTTGAAGGCATGTTTTGGGCTTTGTTCCTTTCCACCATTTCTGCTCGAGAAGGAATAGGACGTAAAAAGGAAAAAGCAAGATATTGTCAAGAAAGTTTTGGATCCTTGTGGTCTCTGTTTTGTTTGATTACCATTTCTGTTATTCTGTTTATTACGGGATCTGCGTATCCACGTTGTTCTATTTATGTGTAATCCTGCTGTTGCAGTAATGTCATTGTGGATTCTGTAAGCACGGTTCCATTTTCTCTATTATCTTGACAATAAAAATTTTCTGGGATAAAAAAAAAAAAAAAAAAAAAAAAAAAAAAAGAAGAGCCACATTTCACCTTTTTGCGCATTTCAACATGCACACAGTGCAATCTGCTTAAGACTCCTAGATTGTAAGCTCCCAGGATCAGGGCCCTCAAATCCCTCGTATTGAACTGTATTGCTGCTGTATTGTCTCCTGTTATATTGTAAAGCGCTGAGCAAACTGTTGGCGCGATCTAAATCCTGTATAATAATAATAATATTTAAACAGCTGCAAGTGTGATATTGTCTCAATACAAATTTCATGGATTCCTTGAGTCAGTGGTTGTCAACTGATGGAGTATAGAAGGGCCTCAACTGTGCCCCTTGAAATCAAAAACACATAAGAGTTGATTTACTAAAGGCAAATAGACCGTGCAGTTGCCCCACAGCTAAGCAAATGAGGGGAAGCTCTGATGACTTACATCATCCAATCATCTGCAGGCAAAAATGTCAGATGACCCAGAAGGGTTTTTTTTTTCCTTGCATGTAATTGGTTATTTTTTGCAAAGTGAAACTTCGCTTCATTTACTAAGCTCTGGAGCAACAGCACTTGCACAGTGTAACTACACTAGCAGGGGCGGACTGACCATTTGGAAACTCGGGCACTGCCCAAGGGCCCGGGGTCAGTAGGGGGCCCCATGAGATGCCCCTGGTACCTTTTTCATAGGCTTTTTTGAGTTTGGGCAAGGACACACGGGCCTCATGATCCCCTATTGCCCGGGGGCCCCATGAGTTGTCAGTGAGCCCCTGTGCACTAGGAAAGTGTACAGTCTATTTTTTAGCAAATTGACCACAATATGTGTACTATATGTATTGCTACAGAAGGCCTGTCAGAGACTGCAGATATTCTATAAAACTGCAGCCCTCCAGCTGTTGCGGAAATACACGTCCCATGAGGCACTGTAAGGCTGACAGTTACAAGAGTATCTCCTAAAAGCAGAGGCATAATGGGACTTGTAGTTGAGCAACAGCTGCAGTTTGACATCCCTCTTCTAGAGAAAAATTATGGTCAAAGACTGGCCATTCTACAGCAGGGTTTCTCAACTAGGGTTCCTTCAAAGGTTGCTAGGGGATCCTTGAGCAATTTCTGCCTCTCAGATAAGCTCCCACTAACACAGATGATCTTTTTAGCCATCTGTAAGGGGTGATTGTTCCCAATTCCACAAGTGTAATGCAGGCCATAGACGGCCCCTGGCATGGCTTAGTATAGTTCTATAGTATAGAAAAATGAAAAACGAAAAATCGGTCGTTCAATCGGCCGACGTTGCCACCATTGGTACAAAAAAGTCGGCTGATTTTCGTCCCGTCTACGGCCGGCAAATATAATAGCGCTGTCCTGCAGAGAGCTCCACTATTATATTTGACAGAAGAAATAGAATATGAATAAGAAGAAGAAAAAGAAGAAATAGAATATGAATAAGAAGCAGGAAAAGTTGAAACATTTCGGATACAGATGTTTCTATTAGGATACAAATAGATATAATGTTGCTATACTTTTAAATGTCAAAATATAATATCGGACTGAAATTCTTTTTTTTTTTTCTTCTTATTCATATTCCATTTCTTCTTCATATTCTATTTCTTCTTTTCCTCCTTCTTGTTGGTCACTGCTCATGCACATTTTTCAAAATCGGTAAAAAGATCGGCTGATGTTTGTCCATCATTTCCGTGAAAATCAGCAGATTTTTTTTTTCCAAAATGACCGAAAAAAAAAAAAAAAAAAAAAAAAAAAAAAAAAAAAAAAAAAAGTGTCAAAATCACGAAAAACGGCCGACCGATTACCCCACTAACGATCCGAAAATCGGCCGATTTTTTTTTCGGCCAACAAATCGGCTGGTTTTCTCCCCGTCTATGGCCTGCATAAGACATTCTTTCCACTGACCAATTTTGCTTATGTATTATAAATTGTAGATTTAGTTATATTTATAGTTGTAGATATAGATATTATATTTAGCAGGGGTTCCCCGAGACTGGAAAGTTATTTCAAGAATTCCTCTGGGTTGAAAAGTTTGACAAAGGCTGTGCTACAGGTTTGAATAGAGACTGGAGACCTGTTACATAAGACTAGTAGAGATACCTGCTATTAATGCTTTACAAATCAATGCTCCGCTGGTGGGGTCCCAAAGGGCCACATGTGGCTCTCAGGTGTCAGTAGTTCCTCACAATACACAGTATTAAAATGGTTTTAACATAACATTCATTTCTGTTTTAAGGTTTTGCAGCAGCCTTTAGTGTATAAAAAGTAACCAAAAGAAAGTGGCCCCTGGCATGGCTTAGTATAGTTCTAGTCCTCACCATTTTGTTGAAGTCTGGGAAGGCGAGAAGGTGACATTCTTTCAAAAGCCCTGACTGAGCAACAATAGCAGTATGCCAAGAGCACTGCTAGAGCCT